TAGAAAGTATCATTCAGTACTTAGACATCAGCTCCTCATTTTCCTATCCAAATGGCACTGTATTGACTGAGCTTGCCGTGCATGCATTTGCATGTCAGCAGCAATTCCTTCTCTGTTGAGTAATGCGTAGAGACATGCATATGACGTCACACCCCCCCCCCCCCTCCTGGCCAAGTTGCAGATCAAAGATCAAGTCCAAAGACAAAAATGTATTTCCAGAGTAAGTTTTAGATTGTAAGCATGGCACAGTACAAGGCTGCGAGTTATTAGCCAACACAGATGCCCTTCCAACCATATTATCTTTTACAAGTTGGTTTGAAAGTAGGTCTACACACATGTAGTATTCAAACAGCCGCAGAGCGTTGAAACTATGCATTTTCAAGCAAATTAAATTTGCTTTTCACCATCAAAACCATTTTCGTTCCTTGAAAATCAGACAAGACACTCAAACTAGAAGTAGAAGCTGTGGAAATGCGAGAGCAATGCTTTCTCAAAAGCAAGAAACGAAAAAAAAAAAAAAGAGAATAAAACTGGAAATAGTAAAACTGAAACGAAGTGACAAGCTATCACATGAGTAAGACCTGCCGACTGGGGAAGCCATCAAAGAAAGTCAAGTAGTAGAACTCGCACGAAGTCTAGAAAGACTATACTCAGGGGAACCCCCCAATATCACTACCATGGTACAAGACAACACAATGCCAGTAAAAAAAAGTGTCTGAACATTTGTGAGTTGTAGAAATGCGGGCATGCATTTTAATTTTCATACACATAGTATTGCCGGCTGACATTTGCCAGACTCCGTACATTGTGATTTTTGTTTAGCTGTAAATATGAAAACCAATGAGATTTTATTAACACTCTATCAGCCACGATGCCCGAGTTAAAATTCGTAAAATTATCAACAAATGTACGTAATTGTTTTAAATTCCATGGGTTTCTCATATTCCAAGCTTAGAATGTGTCGATGAAAGGGTGGGAGAGATTTATCAATGTGTAAAATACATAATGAGTCTATCATCTCTACTTTGTCGATTTCTCCGTATCAAGGGAGATTCTGGAACGCAAACCCTGTGATATACCGTACTCAAATGAAGAAGTGTCAGGTGTCAAAGGGAACAGCGGAACTTATGAACAAGTCACGTCATTGCCATGGGTCAGACACTTGGCATGACAGTATTCGTCAGTTGTCACCTGTTTGGAAACACCAACAAGCAGCCCCACCAGACGACAACCACAGATGTTTGCACACACATCTGTTTGCTGCATGAAAATAAGACATACAATTGACCCCCCCCCGTAATAAACCAAAATAGCACACATGAAGTGATGATGCACTTGGATAAGTCTTTGGTACCATGCTCATAGTAAGTCATTATTCGTCAATCTCCGCCTCTTTCGCCTTCTACATTTACAAGTCATACATGTTATTCTATGGGGGGTTTGGAGGAATATGAAGGAGAAAGATGTGAACATCAAAGGGGCACTAGGAAAATCAGTCACGCATTTTTTATACGTTACGTCAAATTTTCTTTCCTAGTCCTGGTACTTTGTAAAACAGAGACACTGTGCAGATTCCCTTTCTAAACCTTTTTTCCTTCACCATAAAGTAGAGATATAAATAAAAAAAGCCACCCTTTCACACACAGACACCCCCCCCCCCTTCCCTTCCTTAATCGCAAATGCACACTAACCCTGCCTTCTAGTGGTTGCATAGCTGTTCTGACTGCGTGTCATAAGGATTGTGTGCTGAGAGCATGCAGGTCTGACAAGTCAGGAAAAAAACAACAATAGTTTATGCCACTATCAACACAATTTAGATCCAGTTTGGAGACCAACTGCTTCTTCATTGCCTTCCAGGGCCAACTTGGGTTGACAGGGATATGACCCCATGACAGAAAGACATGGGAAATCTAACTCAAGCCTTTGAGAAAAAAAAAAACCCAACAGGAAATCATGTGACGTTTTGTTTGCTTTATGTTCACCATTAAAATGGAACTTTGTCATAGGGACTGAAGGTGAAAACAGTGAGTGAACTCCCAACAGAATCTAGATTGTAGCCACTGACTGAGACACCTGTACCAACAATGCAGTCCACACACACAGTTTCCAACAAACATCTGTTAGGTTCCCTATCAAACACAGAACATGTCATACAACATTTATAAACATGTATAATATACACTCTACAGACATCTTTCTCCATCAAAAATCGGTAAACGCATAACACGAGACACTAAATTCTTCACACAGCTGTCCATCAGGAACAACCGTTCATGTTTTTCAGACCAAATCACACACAGACACACACACATAAAAATGAAATCGTTACTATTTACCATAATTTGGGAGGAAAATAAGATGATAACAAAACAACAAGCCACTGTTAACGAAATAAAAACAAACCCAATTCTAAAATGAACACTTGAGAGTAAGTGGTGATTGCAAAAGAAAAACCATGAATGATAATAATAAGCAATAAATATATAGACGAATAAGTTATCAGTACAACATAGCTGACAAATAAGAAACAATCGTTATCATCATCATGAAGACTTGTATAATTTAATAATGCTATACACGTGTTTGCGGGTTCCATAGCCCTGGAAGGAGGGGTTTATCGTGTCAATGAAAGACTTTGTTTGGGTGAGGAAGAGTGGGTCTCCTGTGCTCCACATAATATGGCTGCTCTGCTCCTGGTTTTATCCCGTGAGGCAAAATTATTCCCACACTTTCATGCTCATAGCTGAGAAAGTAAGCGTAGGCTACCTTGAAGGAAAAACAGAAAGAGATAAATCTCATCGTACTCACTTTTTCGATCCCTCATTCTCATCCTACTACTCTTGATTTCAATTCCCACAAAAAATGTTTCTGAAGTTGTAAAGTTTTTGCATTTGAGGAGGCTTCCCTTCAGCAACTCGGTGCAACCTATATGAAAATGCAATTAACTGAACCGATGGCAGGAAGAAAAAAAACAACTAGGTCCCCCTATCATTCTAACAAAACAAAGTTTTCCCGAGAACCAACACAATAGAGATAGATTCAAATTTTAGTTCTATTCTTAGTATTGACAAGTAAAACTTAAGAGATCCAAGGCCCCATCCCCCTTTCCATCAAACAACTCCCCAGTTAACATAGCCTTCAGGACTACAGCCCCTTTCCAAAGGACCACACCCGTCACCAGAGAGCTGCACCAGGGTATCTGTGGGCCTAGTACAAAATTAAAAGACAGCACAAACTTCAGGCTGGACACCAGAGCAGCCAATTTGTGTGAGAGCACAGCAGACGCAATGTTGATGGTTGTAAAATAAACCAGTTTGGTTATTTGGCACTTACAGAAATAGAAGGGCAAGGACAAGCCAGGTGTATTCCGCCTCAGAGTTAGTTGTGCTCAGCTGAAAAAAAACTGTGACTCGCTTGTTCGACAATTCCGTTCAGCGGGGACAGATGGAACTAGACTCATCCATGCAGCTCAACAAAGCCAGAATCATTCACTGGACTTGTACAAGCTGCCGAACAAAGTGAGCACTATTCCATTTGGCGCTAACAAACAGAACAGGACTAACTCGTACCGTTGAACAAAGAGAGCACTTTTCCAGTCAGCGTGGACAAAGGGGAAGCTTCGACGACAAAATTACTTCTCATCCTCTAAAATGGTTTAACAGCATGCAACTTCTTTGACCACGAACTTGTATGCATCCGTCCTTCCCCTCCGATATCTGTTAGAGCGGTTAGGAAATGCGGGCATTTCCTGTTCATGTGAGAGAGCTCAAACACTGTGACTGAGGCAGAGGCTGTCTTGTATACCGTCTGGGAAGAGCCCACAGCAACGGCGCCGGCTGCCTACAGGAGAACAAAACTCAGCCACAGGCTTTGAACACCAGTGAGGATATACATGTCAATATATATATAAATCTTTGTACAGACCTGACTGACAGCAAACTAAGACCTTGTGCAAAGACAAACCCCAGGCCCAAAGCTAGTGCACACAGTACTCTGTTCCCCTCTTCAAATACATTTTCCCTATCCCTGGGTTTTTTGGCCATAATTTTCTTTAAAGTCTTAGGGTGTCCCAAGAGTCATTTCGTTGATGGAACTTTCATTAAGGTTACATTTATAAAAGCCTAGTCACCACATTTGGACTTTTTCGAGAATGGCTGATGAATAACATTGACAATTATCAGTCTACGCTTGTTTTCAGAAGTGCCTACACTGAGAGCAGTTATGACTATGTCAGATGTAATCGTGAACAAAGACATTATTTTCCGTTTTATAAAGCTAAGCCACGAATTAATCAAAGCAAAAGCATCTCAGTTGTAGTTTATGAAGGCCATACTTCTGACACAACGTTCTACTGGTCCTGTCACTGTTATACAAGGAACTTTGGAGTGACATAAGAGTTATGGAATAATTCATTTACATTTGAGTAGAAATAATTTAGACTTACGATTCCTTAACCCACCTTAAATACCACACTTGACAAGCAACTTCACTTGAAAAGAACAAAAAAAAACCCCCAATATGTTGTATTCCTATTTCCACGACAGCCAAGTGGAAAAAATGGGGTTAACTACAACATTAGAAAAAGCGATTTCACAAGGAAAGAACAAGCTGTAAATTTTCTCACTCCTATTTTACTACCTGTTAAGGGGAGGAACCCGATGAACATGTGCCATAAGCCCCTGCGTAGAGACCTGAGGGCAAGTGTCAGGTGGGTGAGACATTTAACAAGAGCAAACCTTGCTGCCAGTCGGGCTGGCAGTGAGCCTGATGGATTTTTTGCACAGATTTCTACATGTCTGCACACGGCTTGGGTTGAGACAGCTGCAGCAGCTTTCCGGGGGGGAAATTACTACAAAGACTACTCTTCACGCTTTTCCTGACGAATAGTGTAGTGGGTCACACATTTCTAAACGTATAGCCATCACATATTTCTGGACAAATAGCCCTGAAAACCCTAATTTACAGGTAAATATTCGCAACAGTCTAGAGAGAACCCCCCCCCCAAAAAAAAACGGGGAACATAACTGCACTTTCTTAAATACAACTGTAATAAACTTCTGAGAGACATTACTTTGTCAGCAGAAGCGATTCTTGACTAAGCCACCCAGTGAAGAAGTACCCGTACTTGCATACCATAACGTTCACCCTGGAAACATCTGCATCTGTCTCAATCAAACCCGTGAATGTGTGCTTTGTAAATTGCATTCATTCTGATAGGAAAAAAAAAAATATAATAATATTAAACAAATCAAAGACATAACCCAACCAATAACAAAACAACAACAGCATACTGCTCATCTATACGATGGACACTATTCCAATCAAATATGAATATCGTAATCTACAAATTGAAGACATTTGCTAAGAGATACAATGAGCTACCTTGAAGCCACACCTCACAGGACAGAAAGGTTTGCTGAGAAAGTTTTTTACACAACACCGGATCGCAGAGGAAGTCCCCAAGCAGAAGATGCACTTGCCTTGTGGTGGTGGTGGTGGTGGTGGTAGTGGCAGCGGCGGCGGCGAACCTTCTTCGTACTCAGTAAACAGCAGCAGCCAAGGCACCACGTGATATATTATGTCCGAGGCACACTGACTCAAGACCCCCCCCCCCCCCCCTCCCTCAAATCTCCACTTGAGACTACATCTGCGAAATCCAGAAGGGCTTCTTCCACTTTAGACACAGGGCTCTCCGTCTCACCTTAAGACAGGTCAAAGTTCACACCAAAAAACAATTTTTAAAAAAAGAAGAAAAACAACCCCAAAAAACTTTCCACCAGATCTTTCATCTTGTGAGAGAGAAGCCAATCAGAGTGTAGTTTGAGTTTGTGTGTGTGTACAGGCAACTACGACCACAGACTTGAAAAAAGAAGAGGATATTACATCTAGGACCAAATCTCTAACGCTATGCTGGGCTGCCTATCAAAACTGGAAGCCTCCCACGGGGGCGCTGCTGTCCCCGCCGCTGAACTGGTACTGCTGCGAGGCCTGGTCCATCTGCGGGGCCAGGGCCCGGTCCTCCTCCTCTGTCCCGAAGTAGCGCTCGATGATGTCAAAAGCCTTCTGGTAGATCTCCCGGTTCTCATGATTCTGGAGGAACTCAATCTTATCCAGACCTGTGGGAGGAGACGCAGAAGAAAATGAACAGATAGAGATATAATAATATTCTATTGATCTCCTTGTTTTTGCTTTAGTATGAGTTTTATGACACTTGCAACACAATTAGGTCATTTGAGTGCGGAAGATTAGAGGTGTTACAAGAGAGCATAGAACTATAGATGTTTGATAGGAAAGGAGGTATTGATCTCCAGACAATGTATGTTCGGTACGTTTAAGCTGATCATACGCTTTTTTGCAACCCATATGTGGGTGAAAAGCTCTTCTCCGCCATGAAGTTTTTAAAGTCAAAGTACAGATCCAAATTTACTGATGATGACCTTCAAGCCATGGTAGGCTCAAACTTATTTCTTCCCTCAAGCTGAAAGTGGCCCAAGGTAGGTAAAATGAAGAAGCACTGCCAGGCCTCTAGCAGCAAGGATCGAGTAGGTGGTACGAGAAGAAGCCTATGCTCTGAAGAACAGTTGGTGTTCAGAACTGCTACTACGAAAGATTGAAAAGATTAGAACAGTAGTGCTTTAAGAAAAAAAAGACTTTTTTTTGTGTGGACTACACGATGCGGCCCAGGCTCACCCAGACTCTGGGTAATTTAAGTTTTAGACTCGGTTCTACAAGGACTGCACACTCCTCCCAGTACTCACCATAGCATTCCTCGGTCATGACAACGTAGGGGTTGACTCCGTCTCCCTGTTTGGCATCCGTCTCGCCCAGCCGGAGGATGTTATCCAGGCCTGTAAGGGCCACTTGGACAATCTTACTGTCCATCACAGTCAGCAGGTCACACAGTGGAGGGATGCATGACTGCTCCACCAGGAACCTAGGGAGGGGAAGAAAGATTTCATTTTTAGTTTTAATTAGTATGTAGCTGCTACCTTTTCAAAAGAAAAGAAAAATCCAAAAAAACAACATTCAAGATGGTGGGCATTGACCAAGAAACACACATTCAATAAATGTATAACCATAAATAACCGAAAATTTACAGAGGCAAATACAAATTTTTTGCTACAGAATACCGATAAGCCAATACTATTTTTTTTTAATGTATGGAGTTAATATGACGCGACAAGAAGAGAACTTTTGGGATGAACGTATTCTGCAAAAAAATAGAAAGATTGGAAGCAATGCAAAACAGGCCATTTTAGTTTTTCCTTTACTCTCGGCGCTCATTACAAATCTGGTAGTTTTGACACCTTTATCAGCATGGCGGTGGAACAGGTCCAAAATCTATTACTACGGAAAAATAGGTAGATTTAGGAAGCCTTGTACAACTTACCAATATTCAGAAAAAATCAGGATACAGAACCAACAAATTTTAAAAAATTATAATACCATAAATTAGAAATATCAAGTGAAACACCACAAACAATGCAAATCTCAAGTTGTAACACCAGAAACAACACACAAACCAATCTAAACTCCAAAATAAATATCAAGTTTACCTGATCTGTTCTGGTGAACCCCCTGATGTGGCATTAGCAATTGCCCAGGCCGCTTCTTTTCTGGTTTTGAACTCAGCTTTGCCCAGAATATCGATGAGAACAGGGAAGATGTTGCAATCTATCACATTCTGTTGGGAAAAATAGACAAAAACAATCCACTACTTTAAACATTATCACAGGGTCTTTCTTTAGATCATTATTTGAGTATAGACAAACACATCTACACAATTACAGTCATTTAGTGCTGAAAGAAAAGGTAAGGCAAACACACAATTTACATTTTAAAAAGTTAAAGAGCGAGATCTTCATTTGTCGTTTGAGTATCACAAAGTACATCAACACAAGAACAATCAATTAGTGCTGAGAAAAAGAAAGACAGACAAAAACAAGAGTGATAAAAAAAAAGAAGTACCGTCACACTAATCTTAAGAGGTCAAAGCCACATCTTCAGTACATATCAGGGAAAATACAAATGGCAACAGATAACAGAAAATAGATAAGAGGCACATGAAAAGACAAAAGTCGGCCCCATATTTTTTTTTCAAAGCTGGGTCGAGATAAAGACAAGCACTTGGATACAATTAGTACTTATGTATTGTGAAAAAGGAGACAGACATGTTTCAAATTAACTCTATTCCATTCTTGATTTCAATATCTTTTATTCACCAGTACACAGTATTGGTAAGGAAAAAAATTCTTTAAATTAAAGTCTGCCTTTGAGGCACAAATTTAGTACACCATTGTACTGTAACCTGCAACCTTTAGCCTAGGCTATCTCTTTGGCATACAGTGATCTAATTTCCCTGTTATTTTAAAGAGAAATACACAGGATTTCTGTCATTTTCCAGCAAACCCAATAAAACAAAAAACAAAATTGAAACATCTCAGTATTTTTCTTAGTAGAAATTCAAAGCTTGTCCACTTCTGCATCAAATAGCCCTAAAACCATGTAATTCTATGGAAGAATCCTACATCTGTGGACTTCATGGGTGAAAGCACTGGCAGGTTCAAAAACCTGAAATCCGAATTAGTGAAATACCTACGTCTGAAAACTACACGCATTGAGAAATGTCATCAGATAAAACACACATTCCATCAAGATACATGTAGTTCAGGTACTTCACCAATGCATCCCTTTGAAAACAATCCATCCAACCGGGTTTTGGGTCCGCAAAGCAGCAATGTGCTATTCCTGGATGTTAATTTTTTTCACAGATGTATTTTATAACATTCCCCACTGAGACACACATTTTTTAATTTTTTTTAAAAGAGCAGTGTCACTGTCACAGTCCACATTTTTAAAAAACTACAACTGTGGATTCTTGCTAAATAAGAGTTCAGTAATTGTGCATGGTACTTGTGCACACATTGTTTGGGGCTGTAGGTTGGGCTGTTGCAGTTGATGGTGAAATCGGCTGGACATAGACATCTTTTCGTTATGTACGAATTTTGCGATGGACAAATTCTGGGCTGCACCAAGGAAGATAACCAAGTTGGACAATCAAGTCAAAATTTCCATAAATTATGCCACCTGATGCAAAACCTGCGCGCATGATGGATTGATGGCGATTTAATTTTTAAATTTTAATGCTGTAGTCCTCAGTATTAACTGAAATAATTTGGCTTGACATAGAAATATCTACAGCCTGCCCCTTTTGAAACCAACGAAACACTGCTTGTTCCACTGCCCTCTACTTTATCAGTTTATGCCTTTTTGTCCCTGTTTCAGCACTATAATTCTCAATACAATGTACCTTCCGGTGTGTTTTCTTTTTCTTTGGTTCGGAATCTCAAACGTGTTGTAGACTGTTTTCTTTTATATATTGATTTTTCATCCACCTGTGCTTGATCAGCTGTTTGTCCTCAACCGAGAAGTCTTTCTACGTTTCTTTTGCTTCGCTATGATTCACTCTCTTCTACAACTTCACCTAGACCTAACTGTACCGAACATCGGCAAGCTGCTACATAGTGCATAGTCTCTATTGAAGAGAAAGCCCTGACACACGTGGCGGCAATAGGGCCCTACCGGCTACGCGCCTTCACAAGCAGACTCTCCGCTCGCATGTCTGAACCAAATCTGCCACTCTATGAAATCTAAAAATCTGGATCTCAGGGAAAAAAATCGGGATCAACAACAAATCACCAAGGAGACTAGCCAGCTGAAAAAAATAATTTCCAGGGATGTCCATAAATATATATTATATTCCATGTATAGGCCCTCTGCGCGCATGCTGTGTGTGTGTGTGTGTTTTATTATTATTGTTTTTTAATTCTGAAGTATCACGTCAAGGACTCCTTGTCCAGGTGTCTACCCCCTCCCCCCTTCCTCCGTAAGCCTCGAAAGACACTTCAACCAGTGTGCATGAACTTTAGTTGACCCCCGTCAACGGACGGTCCCTGACACGTGCGAAACTCCCACGCCGAAGTCATGTCACGGGATGAGAATGCACCTTTGAAAGTTTTACTCACGGGTCTTGATGACGGGCCCGACTTAACAGAACTTGGAGTACGCTTGTTTTGAAAGTAACAGTAGAACTATGAATAATATTGATCATTTGTGTGCCGCAATTGAAACAGTTGTCAGGCCATCATCAGACAATTCTAAAATTTCGGGTCCGGTAGCCTAACAACTATAGACTACACCACAACTAAATCGAGCAGGCCAGATCTAGATCTAGGTCTACCGCTGAACACTCCTGTGTCGTATGAAACAATGAAACAAACACGTCCTTGGCCTACACCCAGGCTACACTACTCATACTGCCCCCGGCTTGGGCCTATTGAGAGATCATAGGCCTTCACTCCTAAAGTGCCCCCCCCCCCCCCTCTCTCTCTCTCATTGGTAAAACTAAATTTGCGGCTGTCTATAGGCCTGCATGTAATTAGATCTAACTTCGATGTCGCCGATTTTCCCCCTCGCTGTATAGGTACGAATTGTCAAGTCTTCGTGTGTGTTTTAATACACAGAATAATAAAAGGCTCCACATCAAAATTCGGGACCTCAAATTATGTTTGCTACATCTATTATTCTATGTGCATCTTATCTACATTTACTGAAAGAATGAATTTCCTTTTAAAAAAAAAAAAAATCACAATAATATTTAAAGATTGACCGCGACGTGCACAATTGTGATTGTCCAAACGACCCATAGACATGAACCTAAGATGTCAACATCGAGGTCGTTGGCCTAGTGTTTACTGCGACATAGGTCTAGATCAAATTGGGTTCTTTCTGGGCTTGCAATGCTCATTTTGGCCAGTAGGGCAAGCTGAGACAGACCAGCAATGTAACCAAATGCAAAGAGCTAGAGACTGGATGGGGAGAATGACTACTTCCGAAATGTTCCGAAGTTGATAATTTGTTCCAAACTGGAAAAGTTGAAAGCTTATTTTCAAAAGCCGGAATTCCGGCATATGCCAGAAAACTTTCACCCACAGTGGACTTTTTAGTATGGTATGCGCTTGACTTTTGTATGTAATATTACATATAAGTATATATGTATATTATGTAAATCTATCAGGAAATACATAAAAAATTTGTGTCACGACCCGGTGGAATCGGGCGCAAAGTACACAAAATACTCTTTAAGATTTGCAAATGATTGCACGCTTCCCAAAATATCTAAAAAAACATGTATAAAAACACCCTTCTCATCAAACAGAGAAGGCAAAGTGTAACAAACCTGAATTTGCTGTCGGTTACCGGCGGTGATGTTGGATATTGTCCAACAGGCTTCCTTACGGATAGACTCCTTAGAGCTGCCCAGAAGATGCAGCAGGCAGGGGAGAGAGTGGCAGTTGATTATCACCTGAAATGTCAGTTAGAACAAGAATAAATAAAACTATTGAGGCTCCGTTCAGTTTGAGCTTGTTCTGAGAGTAACAAAAGTCATATCAATATGATAACAACCAGGGAAGGAGAAAGGTAGACAGACAGAAGCAACAGAGCTAAAGAAAAGCAGTAGGACCTACCAATGGTGCCCACCTATCACCCCACTCAATTCGGTCAGTTTTAGAAAAATAAAGTACATTGATAGAATACGGGCTATGCAGAGCTGGCAAGGGGTCCAGACAAACAACGGAAGAATTCAGGACATAGGCTTGGACCTGTCAGCAACACCCTCAAACAACCTGGTAACGCCAGTCACAGAAAATCAAGTTCATCTGCATATTGGCATTATGAGTGAACGATCAGCTTAGCAGCATAGCCAGGAAGACACAGCTTCCCTTCGACAGGCAGCACGACAAAAATCCCCCCAAAATACAGCTGAGAAGAGAAAGGGACCAGTAGTTCCTTCAACAGACAAACAAACCCCCCCCCCCGAAAACCACAATAATCTGTCCAACATTGTCTATAAAAAAAAAGCCCCTTTGTTCATAATATGATGCAGAAGTTACCATTCTGCCATTTAGCTTTCCCTTGTTTCATAATATGATGCAGAAGTTACCATTCTGCCATTTAGCTTTCCCTTGTTTCATAATATGATGCAGAAGTTACCATTCTGCCATTTAGCTTTCCCTTGTTTCATAATATGATGCAGAAGTTACCATTCTGCCATTTAGCTTTCCCTTGTTTCATAATATGATGCAGAAGTTACCATTCTGCCATTTAGCTTTCCCTTGTTTTGATACGACCAACTAAAGAAAATTTTGCCTTGTAAAAAGGGAAACAAATTAAAATCAGCATTTTACCTCACCTTGAAAAAATAACATTTCAGTTTATGGGTATTTTCAAAGAGATCTTCAAAATAAAACAAAGATGCCAATCGTTTTTCACTGCAAAAATGAACAACTGTTACTTATATATAAGAAACAGAGCTGGTTTCCCAAAACCAAAACAGAAAAACGAAATGCTAGTAACTTGCAAATATGAACGTTCTTTTCGAAGAATGAGGACATTAGCTCAGGCAGACAGAAATGAATACGGGATGGAAAAGAGACTAGTCTACAAACAGCATCCCCTAGCCACCCGTAGAAGATAAACGAGCCATAAAAGTCTGTTCCCAGAGCTCACACACAGTGTGGACACACTTCTTTCATTCTTTTAGAGTCACTCCTGTCTTCGCATGCAAGAGAAAAATTTAGAAACTCCAACACGATAAATCCATCAGAAAAGCACGAAACAAGACACTTGGAAAAAAAAAAACAAACGAAAGAAAACAACACAAGGTTTGTATTGGTAAAAAAAAAGTCACTTAAATGAAGCAGCATTTGGAGTTAGTATAAAAATTAATCCAAGTAAGAATGGTAGAATGCCAAAACATCCAAGCTCCTGTAATGAAACCAGTCAGGCTAAAAGGGAAATATATAAATAAACCCAACAACAACTTTGACCTGATCAAAAAAACAAAGACCTACAACAGCTTTGTACACTGTCCAGACTTCACATCAACTCCACAAGGCTTCTTGTAAAGCTGAAAAAATTATTTCAATACTCAGGAGTGTTAGCTGTCTTTCAACAACACTTTCCAGGCTTGACATCAATTTACATATTTCTAAATCAAAATGAAGGCATATGTACTTCCCCAAACTGCCCACTTTAGAAAAGATTAACTGATTAACTGGAACCAAACCATGCCAGCACACGCACACCTGTCAAGTGTGAAAGTTTTCACATATCCATTAACATTACTTGTACGAGTTAAAAACCCTAATTGACACAAACAAATAATTTCCAAGTTGGACAAAAATTTTTGGTACAAACTTGATTCATTTAATATGAACACACAAAAGAGAATGCACCTCCCTTAACATTAGAGATCGAATCAACAGTGAAACATTATCCACTCCATAAAACACACTGTCACTCTCTGACTACAAAGTCCAACATTTGTTTTTTCAAGTGATCAGTATTTCTGTTCTCTTCCTGTTAATTGTAAACCCTGTAATGGACTGACCTCAAATGAAAGGATATCACTCCAATCTTCAATTTGAAAGTCAATCAGTTCTTAACTGCACATCTTGACCTCTTCATCTTTCTTCCTCTATTTCTTTATCATCCCAAGGTCCTGTGACAGGGCTGTCCACCCATATCTTGTACGTGAGTACATTTTCCTCCTTCAGTTTTGCCTCAAGATAAAAAATTTTTATATCAAATAAAACATTTTATCAATGTTTCCTCAACTTACCTGTGTCTGACAGTCATCTCCGGTCACAATGTTGCCCACCACACGCAGAGCGGCGGCCACCACACTCTGGTGATTGTGCCTGGAGCAGGAAAAGGAGACACATTAACTAAAAGCACCCACAAAGAGAAAAACAAAGCAAGCAGTCTATTCCACACTTCAGTATCAGCACCAGAGAGATTTCATGTGTTTAGAAAGCTACCAAGTTTTAGTTTTTTAGAAAAAGATTTACGGCACTTTGTTTAGTTTTATGTTTAAGTAAAAGCTTTACGGCACTTGCAACGCAATAAGGTCATATAAGAGCTGAAGATTATTGGTGTTACAAGAGAGTAACAAACAAAATAAAAAGGAGGAAAGATAAGGATAATAGATGTTTGATTGGAAAGGAGAAGTAAACAACACCAGAGTACTCACCAACCACCCACGACGGCACTTACAACACGAATAAATTTGTAAGTGCCAACATTTAGAAGTGGTGCTAGAAAATAAACTACACAGATAAAAGTAGAGATAAGAACGATAGATGTTTGACAGGAAAGAAGGAGCAAACCACACCAGTGCATCTGTCAACCATCCAAAGCTACCAAAACAAACAACACCTGTACAGTGCTGACTGAATCTAAACGAAAAAACTACAAAGACACAAAAGTTACAGATACATCACAAATTGTGCAACAAGAGAAAAAAAAAGACAAACCTAAAAGGTGAGTTAAAAAGTTTTAAAAAACCAGAGTAGAATTTAAAAAGTAACAGAAAATGACTCAACAAACTCAGGAATATTGTGAAACAAAATAACTCAAAATCAGTACATTCTAAAGAAAACTTTGCCATTTTACATTGATCAACTTACATAAGCAACTCTACAAGTCTGCGACAAACACCAGAGTCGATGACGGCCTGGATCTTTTCGTTGGGTCCGTCCGACAAGTAGGACAAGGCCCAGCAGGCGTCGGCCAACACATCTTTGTCCGAGTGGTACAGCAGGTGGGCTAACACAGGCAGAGCAATACACACCTGGTGGATGCATCAGATAGAGAAAACCGTTAAACATGAAGCCCAAGACACTTTACACGTGTCTTTTTTTTTTAGTTTAGTCTACAAAGAGTTTTACGGCGCCTACAACCACAAATTTTAAACTTTGTACTTGAATCATTGACTCAAACCAAGCCGTACTGTGAACTGCAGTGAAAGCAACCAACTTGTGTTTCACGAGCTCACATATCTCTTTTTAAAGTAAGGACAAACACAAGGAGAGCAAAAGAAGTAGGAACTACCAGTGGCACCTTCCAACCACTCGTCTGAGTGAGTAGAAGCACATTGACACAATTTCAGTCATTTAGTGCTGGAGAAAAGCAAGGCAGACAAATAGGAACAACAGAGGGAGAGAAGAGAGCACAGAAGAAGGACCACTAGTAGCTCCCTCTAATCACCATATCTCTATATCTTGTTCACAGATCTTCCCAAGGACTACAGACTACTTTGTGCAAGTCATTACTAAAGTCACTGTTGCAGTTTTTTTTAACCACTATCGGCTTAAAAGCCAAAAAGTATCTTATTTACAACAGATAAACAAAAATGTATCTTTTCTAGAAATCTTGATAATCGCTTTCTCAAAAGACACTTCGGCCATCCCCCCCCCATTATAATAATTTTAATATTAGGAGATTGAGCATCAATTGGGGGAGGGGGGGGGGAAGAAAACAAATTAATGAAAATTCAATCGCTGAGATTACATTATCTGAACTATGGATTTCAAAGCAAAAATGTGCTGGTGACTCCTGTGTTGTTCACATCACATCTGACTATTTATTCACTCAATCAACATGAATAAAATCTAAATTCGTCTACTACCAAGACATGAACAAATATCAGTAATCACAATTTGCCACTTATTTCTCTGCCCAAAAGCTCTATAGAAAACCCTATATAATCCTGGCGATTCCTGACACCCATCTATACAATTTATCTAAGTAAGCCACCCTTAGTCTTCATCTGTCTTTTTTACCTTTTATTTATTTTATATTTTTTTTGGTAAGAGCAAAATGTTCAAAGACTTTATATCCATTCAAATTCTCTAGGAACTGCATATATATAAAGAATTATATATATATATATATCTCTTATTCTTGCTTGTTTTTATGGTAACCTACTCTTTACATAAAATGGACTCACTTTACTAAAATCAGGCGGCGGATTCTTTCCCCGACACAAGTTTGAGAGACACCACACTGCATTGCGTGTCATAGACAAGCTGGCACATTTCCTCAGCAAACTGGAAAAAAGAAAAAGTAAGAAATAAGAAGTCAATCACAAAGAAAGCTTAAATATAATACCAGCTGACCAGTAAAAAAAGTTTGTTCAAAGTAATGTCAATTGCTTTCCTTTTTATGACTCAGTTGACATCAAAATTGACCTGAAGCTAAAACATATATCCTGATTATGTTTTGTAAAAAATTAATTGCTGTTGCACAGAGTAAAGCTGATAAAGCAGTTCAATACTAAATGGCACGCTGTTTCAGTTTAGATGTTTCAGCAAACGAAATCTCCCACATTGATTTGTGCTTTATTTGCTCAGGAATACAGGATGGATATATCTTGAACAAACATTAAGTTCAAAGCGAAAGGTCATATTGTACATGGTTGATTTCATCCAAAGATTATCTAATCCATGCGAGTCCTGAAAAGAAATGACCAGTCTGCTGTACTGTGTGACATAGGTTTGTGTTAAAGTGCGGTTTTGATAAAAATAGGTTAACTTTCTGATATTTTCGGAGTATGCTGTAAATCTCCATTTAATGGTTTTATCTTGTTTTAACCATGAACAGGTGAAAAAGAACAAACTATAAATGGCACCGACTTGCTTTTCTTTTGTCTGTGAAGGTTCATAAAAAGGACCGTCACATTCTCCAACTAGTTTATCAAATATTAACGTGATATTTTGAAGCAGTCAAATATCATTTGAGTAGTCATTTTGTCATCATGTAGTGAATCAGGCTCAAAGAAACAGTAGCAGTAAAAATCATCTAATACCAACACTAAGGAAACAGCTTCTCCAATTCCAAATTCATCTCCTTCCATGGTTACAAATGGTGGTGCTTATATACTTTATAAACAAACTTTACGCTTACATAAAGCAGACTAAACACAACAAAAATCACACATCTCAAAACCACACGCCCTGCAGTAAAAGTAGTTTTTTTTCTGTGTCGGCAAGGTTACAAGGGTAAAAGTGAGCATTGAGATAAGAGGACATCAGCTACAAATAGCACCATGAATATTGGTACTTACTGCAAAAGAGGTACAAGAATTCCTTCGCTGAGCACATAATCCCGACACTCCGGACTGTCCCCAGCTATATTACCCAAAGCCCAGACAGCCTGAAAAAGACAGCAACCTCTAGTAAGTCTAGATCAATCTACAGTTTCGTCCAGATTTGTAAACAACAAGATAAAAATTGAAAACCCACCTACACAATTTTCTTTATTTGTCTGAGCATATCCCTAAATCCAGGAGAGAATGTACTTGCATTTGTGAGAGTGCATGCATGCATGCATAGAGAGAGAGAGGGAGAGAGAGGGAGAGAGAGAGAGAGAGAGAGAGAGAGAGAGAGAGAGAGAGAGAGAGAGAGAATGAAGTGTAAAAGTTTATGTTATCTTAACTGTAAACTGTAAAGAGCAAATAGCATTCACAACATGGAAATGCTGTACAAAATTACCAACAATCATTGTTACCACTATCAATCTCTAAACTGGACCTGGAAGTTAGCATCACGTCCAATTCTTCATTATGATAATAAATAGCATTCGTATAGTGTCACGGTGTGCTAACCCCAGTAAGAAACTAGCTTTGAGCGATTCTTTACCCCTTAAAGAACATACCCATACTGTCTTCAAGCCTATCGATGGTGCACAATGTACCTGTTCTTGAACATCCTCAATCTCCGAGCTGAGCAGGCGTATAAAGATTGGCACCGCCCCAGCACTGATAACCATACGCGTCTGCAGCGACGTGCCAGATGCTATGTTGGTGAGGGCCCATGCTGCCTCAAACTGTCAACAAAAGAAATAAATCATTCACACATTAGTTACCTTGTTTCAATAAATAGAAGCATGCTGACATGAAAACGGCACTTTTCTACACAAATAAGTCATATAAGTGCCAAAGATTAGAGGTGTTACAAGAGAGAAACAAACAAAAAAAGAAGGAGGAGAGATAAAGACGATAGTAGTTTGACAGGAAAGAAGGAGCAAAGCCACACCAGAACACCTGCCAACCGCCCACAGGCCATATAAGAGCCTGAAGATTAGAGGTTTTATTCAGAGCTTCCAGCAAATGATGTCATTTTTCGAGGATTTTCGGGTCCAGGGGGTGGAAGGGGGACAGCGTCCCCTTTATGTTTGAGAATTTTTGGTTTCAGAGCATCTTAAGTATGCCATTTCTGGCTATTCAAGCCTAAATTTAACAGAAAATTAGTGAAAAATAAAACACATTTGCATAGGTCTACATAATTTTCTGCTTGTGTCAATCCATATATTTCCAAATCCAAAGCCATGCTTTCTCCCTTGTACAGATACTGTACATCCACAACTAGATCTATAAAACTTGACAGTTAATGTTCAACTTTTTTCTGCTAGTGTTGGTTTGCACCATAATCATCATAAGGTGTAAAATCCGTATAATAATAGTATAACAGCTTGACTTGATCTAGATCTAGATCTAATATCTCTAGATTCTAGTCTAGATTTTAGATCTAAATAACTTGACAGCTTATTCAACTTGAATCTACAACAAAACTTACAAATAAACAAGTCTGGTAAAAAAAAAATCAAGCTCTCTTTTGAGTTTTCTTTTCTTGGCAGGCCCAAGATCTATTGAATCACAGTCGTCATTTCTTCCTCTTGTTTACATAGCTGGTGCTCTGCTTCTTGAGCTTTAGAAAGTGAAAGTGAAAGACACTGTCTACACTTTCAAATAAAAGAGCACTTCCGGTATGGGTTGGTTATTGTTATTGTTGACTATTGGTAATAACGGAAATTTTTTAGTTCGCATTAAAAAATTTTTTTTAACGGAATTTCACGGAAATTTTTCCATTTGCGGAATTCTGCTAATTTGCGGAAGACTGGAAGCCCTGGTTATTAGAGAGTAACAAACAAAAGATGAAAAGATAAGGACGATAGATGTTCAATAGAAAAGAAGGAGCAAAATCATATCAGACGACCCGCCACCACCCACAGCGCTGTGAGAAAAAGCAAAAAAGACAGTAACAACAGAGAAAAAGAAGTAGGATCTGCCATAATCGCTCTCCAACCACCTGATCATGCACAAATATGTTGGTTTTACCTCGTGATAATCAGACAGGGCAGATAAAAAAAGACAAACAACATACCACTGACCAAACTAGAAAAAGACTACAACAAAAAAATTAACTTCTTAAAAAGACAAGCCAGTTATACTTTGTGGCCAGTCATCTGTTGCATCATAGAAGAAATAGGGGTTAGGTACATACACCAAAAATTCAAAGAAAGCAAAAGGGTAAGGCTAACCCCCCGAAAAAAAATTAATTAAAAAAAACTTTTTACTCATCTACTTGGAATTTGCCTAAATTTTTCATACAAGATCAGGTATCACACATATGTGCGGCATTGTGGTGAAATTAGGTGCTTGTCAAAATAAAGAGATCTACGAATCAACATTCTCCTCCCAGTGGAATCAGGCGCTTGTCAATTTTTGGGCATGTGGAGTTATTAATATAGTTTAATTAGCCTTACTTTCGATGAAAAAAATACCAATCTATCTAGGGCAAAAGTTGAGATATTAGCAATTGAAGGAGACAATGGTAGCCTGTTTTCAGGCATAAAATTAGAAAGAAAATGGCCACCAAAGTTAGGTGACTTCCAAAGCTGGAGAGTCCTTGCAAACTAAAAATGTACATTTTGCTTGTTCCTTTAATCAACGTTTTTCAGAAAAATCCACACAGAAATGGACATATTAAGTGCTGAGCCCAAAAACAAATTTTATAAATAAAAACTGTCAAACTGGCGGTAAAATACTGGCTTCTTCAATTTCTTTATTTTGACGAGCGCCAGATTTCATCACGATGCTTCATATATGGTAGTAGCTTTACTGTGCAAGTAACTCAACAAAAGCTTCTGAAGTTCTTTCATATTTCTTTCAAACAATGTAAATAAACATAAGCCTACTCCACAACCAAAATTCATCTTGAAAGTTTCAACCGTTACTGTATACTTCCTAAAAGATGCAAACCACTTCAAGTTTATCTCACTAATTTTCTTCAACATTTGGGAATTTAGCCATGTATGGAACAAACACAAAAATGAAAGACAGCTGTTGAGAGTGAACAAACCTGTAAAGACCAGCTGCTGTCTCGCTGCAAAAATTCTACAAATCGGGGGATGATGCCAGTCTGGATAACTTCATCAATAGGAGGATTTGGTTCTAAGGAGAGGGTCAACATAAAAAAATATATAATGTAAGCAAAGCATTCATAGGAAGCAAATAAAATCAACAACAGTTAATCTACATTTCTACATGATACTGGTCTTTTTTATCTTTCACCTGTACACAATTTCATGTACTTCTGGAAACTGTACTATAAAGGAAGACACCGATAACAACTCAATGACTCTGTAAACTTTGGCCCAGTTGATATCAAGTATATACATATCATGTTTCACATTTTTCCAATGGAATATCTGAGGGTGTTATTTTTGTTATCCTGCATATTATATTATATATATCTTAAATCATATGTAATTTTTTAAAATTGTTACAGACATATTCAAGTGGCACATAATAAAGAAAAAGGTAATTTCCCCCCCCCCCCCAAATAATGTGTGTAATGTCTCTCAATTGTGTTACTAAAATAAAAGAGCATAATTAGCAATTTTAATATTAACACTCAAAACCATAAAAATATAAAGAAACAGGTTAAAAAAGATCAGAAAAAATAATGTAACCGTATGTTCTATTGTCGAATTCCTTTTAACATTGCGATGAAGACAAAAAGGATTTGACACCTGTGCCTGTCCCAATTTAAGAGAGAGATGCACAGGGAACGAGTTTTTCAATTCAAACTTTTACCTCAAAAAAGAAGAAAGCAATTTCTCAATTCATGGCCACCTCAGAGCATAAGTTACTACAGCTGCAAATCATGAAAGTGTATCTAAATGAAGCCGTCCTCATTTCCATTTGGACAAAAGAATAGGATCAGGGTACCCGCTGAGAAAATTTGTCTCCAGAGAAATGAGGACAAAAATCCATACAGAGCATTACGTAATATCTTAAAGATATTTGACCATGGACAATAAAATTGTTAAATCTTCAATGTACTGATCTTACGCTGAAACCCTTTCACTTACATTCATACACAAACAGAGCACTTTCACCAAGTTTCCAGAAAATGTGACCTATTCTAGGGATTGAACAATACTGTTCACATGAAACATAAGGTTGTGTTTATCAGTATGCAGATTACCCTAAGCAGTACATTGTCATTGAGTCAAAAATACAACAAAACCTTTTATCAGTCAGTATCATATCTATCATCATATCTTATTACCTCTTGATAAAAGTTTCCGAAACTTTTGTGTTGCCATTTCTTGCTCCTCTAAGACATCACTGTACAACGCTTGCACCATCTCTTGACTGATACCTCCCTTTAAAGTTGAAAAGAACAACATATTATACAGTTGAAAGCTAAAAATTTGTCCCAAGAGGAATAAAAACACGGTAAGTGGCCAGCAAATTAACACAAGAGAAAAAGAGTCTATTTCAAACCAATATGTTGAGCCACTTCTACTGGAACTTCAAATTTCTTTTGGAAGGGGGAAGGCTGTATCTAGGCTTCGACTCGTAGCATTTTACCTTACTTTTAAAGAAGAACCCCCCCAGTAATTCCAATAATTTACATTAAGAATACAACCTCACTTTCTTTCCCAGAAAACGAAAAATATCTTATTAAATCCAAATCTTCATATATGTCAACCAAGTAAACAGAAATTTTTAGAAGTTTCTCACTGATAATCACACTATCCCATTGGGATGGGGTGGGGGTGGGGGGGGGAGGCCTCACTTTGGTAGACGGCCAAAGCAAGACAATTCTTAATTGATTATCACAGATTTTCATACCCAACACTTTTCTGATGGACACCGAAACCTATACTCTAAAATCATTTCTCTTCAAACAGTAGTATTCTGAATATCAAAACCTCCCGAATTATAAAATAATAAAACAAATAACAGACTTCTTCTGTTCTTGGGAATAAAATGACAGAGTTAACATATACACAAACACAATAACAGCAAAGACTTACAGAAGAAGACACCATTGGGTCTTGCAAGTCTGATGGAGAACCACTTTCATCTTTGTCAGGTATGGCAACATTTCGTCGCTTGAAGATCTGTCATTAAAAAAATATATTATATATATAATAAAGCGTGTTAACAAAGAATTTTCTAGGCCAGTAATTCTACAAGTTCAAAACTTAAGTGACAGAAACATTGAAAAGTCTGCTGTCCTTTACATGTTACTTAGTTCCAAAGAAAGATGAACACAAAGAAAAATGAAACAAGATTGAATCTGTAAAATATCTAGCTTATACCATGCATTCTTTTTCCAGGCATTGAAATTGTACTTAAGCAAATGTGAAAATGACCAAGAGTCGAGCAGTATGATTCCCTGACTCATTTACAAGAGAATTAAAAATTAACACGGCAGGATTATAGCACTGTCAACTACATAACTCTACACAGCCTTTTCCAATGACAATGGAATCTGTTGCTTCTTTTTTCATTCCTTTGTGCACCCCCTTCCCAATTTCTATCCATTTCAAAGGCAATATAAAATATGGCAGGCAATGGATTATATAACAAAAGCAGCTTCCATTCCTGAACAAAAAGATGACCAACCTGTTCCTCTCGTTTCTGTTTTCTCAACTGGATTCCCTCTTCTTCTCTTCTCCTTCTCAATTCCTGCGAATCTAAGGCTTTGTTTTTGTAAGATTTAAGCCTGTGATTGGCAGGGCCTTGAGCGTCAGACATCTATGAAAAAAAGCATTCAAGATTTTAAGCACGATTCAATATATATATAATATATCGCTACCTTTGAACACTTGTAAGGTAATATGATTTTCCATGAGATTTAAAATTTTAAAAACTTTTGAAGCTGTCATATAAGAATATGGCATATGGGGAGGACTTTCGTAACGAGTGATCACTATGAGACAGAGTAGAATTGAATAGAGGGTAAAGGGTAGCAAGCCAAGGATAGGACTAAATTTAGATCTAGTCTAGGTCTCTTCTTTATTTTGTGCTTGTTGGGGTGGTCGCTCGTTACGGAAGTCCTTCCAAAATAGGCAAATTTAAAAGGTCTTTAAAACCCTTTGAGCCTAGCCTACAGGACCTGTGCACTAGGGTCTGGAGCTCCTTTGGTTTCGGATTGACTGTCGGTAGATTTACATCATCATCATTGTAGCTAAGGATATAATGGATTTTATAGGCTCAGAGTACAGAAGTCAGCAAGTAAAAGTCATGTACGCTCAGGTCCATCAGGTTTTAAGACAGAAGACTTTCACAAATGCTCGATTTAGTCTGACAATGTCTAGACTTGGTCTAAAAAATTAATAGACGACAAGTTCACCGAGCCCTACACTTACAAACACGAAACATAAAACATAAAGATCTAGATTCTAGATCTAGAATAATTGGATGGAGACTGAAGTTTTCTAAAGGCTGGTGGGGTCAATGTCGGTAGATTCAAGACCTGTTGTCTGGATTCCATAAAATGGCATTCAAAATTGAATTGGATTAGACCTTGCACAAAAGAAAACAAGAAGGAGATATCAGCTGGACTTTTTCAATCAATTTTCCCTCTAAACAGCTCAGAAAAAGTCTTTGATTGATTTGGACAATCAGTCAACAAGCTGAGACACTCCTTCAGTCCTAGTCCTGTGGTCAGGAGTAGAAACCTGAATCAAAGCTGTAGCTGTACTGCACACACTGTAGTCCTAATACTAGGTTAATACCCGATCTGTTCATACTATCCAGTATGAATTCATTCAGGCTCTTTATCAATCATGACCATTCATATGTGTGTGAGTTCAGCTGTTCAGCATTATTACCATGTTGAACATCATTGTAACAATAAGACTTCACACTTTCTCTCTTTTGTAAGTAAGGATATTGATTAGATCTAGATCTAGATCTAGTCTACAAATCATGTGGGCAAGTGAAAATGACCCAACAATGTATTTCATTCGCCCTGACCTCAGTTAGTGTACGAGAAATGTGGTTCCTTAGCTGCTTTTAGGCCTTAGAAATTGGCTATGCAGCATGCATTCTTGTGATTGAGACTATGAACACTCTTTCTCAGTATTTTCATATCTTACTCTCTTACCGCTGATGGCATCAATGATAGTGATTATGCTCTTGGTTATAAAGTTGGTGAGTTTAGACTCGGTGGTTCGTCCTTCACAATATGGGTACAGGAAACCAAGGCCGGCTAGGAATCACCCAAGCCTGTTAAAAATTTGCCTGATTGAGAAGTCAGGCTCGTTTTGTGCCTTTCGCGATGACCGACATCAAACAGGAAGCTCGACATGTGCTGGTAAAAATGATCGTCTTATTTTTGTAGAAGCTAATTTTCCGTTTCAAAATGGATAAATAAATACAAGGCAGGTTAATATTTAAAGTTTAAAGACAAAAAATAAAAAATATTTTCATTAATTTGTTCTACTATCTCGACAAAAAAGTAATTAGGTCACGAGAGGTCAATTGTACCCATGTTTCGTTATTTTTTTGTATCGTACTTTAGAAATGTGTCGCCAGAAAAGGAAAATAGGAACGAACTGTTCTGAAAGGAAAGACAGAAAACATTATGATTCATTCTTTCTGGTTTAGATCTAGTTGGGTTTTGTTCTTTTTTAAAGTCTCTCTCTGTCTGTCTGTCTCTCTCTCTCTCTCTCTCTCTCTCTCTCTCTCTCTCTCTCTCTCTCTCTCGTTGTATTATGACTGCATTCCATTCAAGGACCTTACAAAATAAAATTAAATACATTTATACACAAATAAACAAAGTATAACCGTCTTGCTGCCACGTAATTCACGTAATTGAGCAGACAAATCAACTCCGAGAGCACAACCTGAACCCAGTCTGCGCAAATTTTAAGAGAGAGAGAGAGAGAGAGAGAGAGAGAGAGAGAGAGAGAGAGAGAGAGAGAGAGAGAGAGAGAGAGAGAGAGAGAGAGAGAGAGAGAGAGCGAGAGTTTAGTTAAGGGAAAACAAGGGGTGTCTGTGTGTGTGTGTGTTGGGGGGGGGGGGGGGTTGATGTTATTTTGTTGTTGTTGTTGTTTGTTTGTTTGTTTGGTTTTTGTTGGTTTTTGTTGGGTTTATTTTAGGGGGAGGGGGTTAAAAAAAATTCTTGGCGTACTTTCGTGCCGCATAATATAATAACAATATACCGTATAAAACCTCATATTCTGCAGAAGACCTCGCTTGAAAATCAAACGTTTTTACTATGCCTATGTTTGCCTACCTCTTCCAGCTCCCAGACAATCTTGTTATGTTATAATTCTTGTTACCGACATTCGACTGACTTAAGGCGACATAGTGCATAAACATTATATCTAAAACAAGAATTTGATTCTTGAATAAATACCACCGTAGCATCTGCTATATTACACCCTCTCCCCTATTATAGCTAAACATGGGGAAACGTTTTTTGAAGTTTAATAGGCAGCAAATATTGTTATTCTTTAAAACTATTTTTAAAATGATGTAGCTATATATAGGCCTACCCTGCTAGACAGACAAACATATAGATAGATAGATAGATAGATAGATAGATAGATAGATAGATAGATAGATAGATAGAAAAACTAAGAAGTGCCAGTCGATTGGCTGAAGATACATAGTGAGCTATAGTTTTTGAAAATCTTTACTACATGTACATGTGAATTAATTATTAAGATGTTCATGAATTTGGTTTAAGTGTGCCGTAGTTCAAACGGCAGAGAAGGAGATGGGAGGACAACATTACAGAGTGGACAGGAAAGACGATGGGTGACAATCTGAGGAGAGCAGAGGACAAAAATAGATGGCGAGAGCTGGTTTTCCAATGCAGTGGTGCCCCAACGGTTGCCCCAACCACGGGATAGAAGAAGAAGAAGAAGTTCAAACACTGGACTTTTCATTTAAATAATAACACCCCCGCCCCCCCCCCCCTTAAAAAAAAAGAAAGAACAATGTTTTTCAACAATTGTGAATCATACAAAGACGTTTTAACACTCCGAGAGGCTGCATAATAATATATATCACCCATGTAAACAAACGGGGGCGGACTGTGTGTGCCCACTTTACAGGCTATATACCCTTTTGCTTTCTGATAGCATTTTGCCACCATCTTTCAGATTTTCTTCTTTATATATATTTTTTCCCTTCTGTTCTTGGCCTCCATTCAGATGTCGTTTAGCACAAGTAATAACTATAATACACGAACTGATACTGTAGAAGCTACACGTGGCCCACATAGACTTTTGTCGTTTAGGAGGCAGGATTCTTTAACCCTGCTTGTATGAGCCAACTCAGACTGAAAAAGATACATATATATGTTACAGTAAGAACGCGTACCTAGTGAATACGCGTAATCACTGAATATTTCAGTGAAAACGCGTAATCTCTGTTTCACTCGGAGATTTCACGTAATCACTGAAATAATCAGGAATTACGTGACATCCCTGAAAAATGGTCACAGTAATAACGCGTACTCCCTGATCAGACATGTGTAGTATAATATACTTTTGTAAAAGCTTATTCCTTAAATAGTCAGTTCGGTAACAAACTCTCTCTCTCTCTCTCTCTCTCTCTCTCTCTCTCTCTCTCTCTCTCTCTCTCTCTCTCTCTCTCTCTCTCTCTCTCTGTCTCTCTCTCTCTCTCTCTGTCTCTCTCTCTCTCTTTCACACACACGCACGCACACATACATACACACACACACACACACACACACACACACACACACACACACACACACACACACACACACACACACACACACACACACACTCACGTCGTCACTTGTTACAACAACTGAGGCTGCTATGACAGCGTAAGTTACACTAAAGCCCTGCTTTGCAGCATTTACATCGCTTTGAACTACACTTTTTGGCTCCACTACAGTTGCATCTTGTGAAGCCTTGTCCACCTGAAGAGGATTGAAAAATCACCGCCGAACGCAGTGAAACAATTTTTTCGGTGTTTATGTCGTCAGTGTTCAGAAGACGCTCAGGGCACAGATCGAACTGATTTCTGGAATGCAAACCAGCTTTTACGGCTATCTTCTCGTCTGTCAATTATGACACCAAGGATATTTCTAGGATCGCCTCTCCCTCGATCAACAAGTGGAACTGGCACACAAACTGTGTCCCCTTTTTTGCCAACTGGCATATCTATATTACAGTAAGAACACGTAGATCAATCTAGTTAATACGCGTAATCACTGAATATTTCAGTGAAAACGCGTAATCCCTGTACAGTGGCGGGGCTATTACGTGAATTCACTGAATGCTCAGTACATATGTAGTAAAAACACGTAAAAAGATAGGTCTAATTTTA